TTGGATGCCATTGTAAGACTGTAATTCTGACATCATCCCACTTCTTCAATAGTTAATAGCAGATATCGACATATGTTTTCTTCTGAAAAAGAGAATTAATCTCGCTGAGTTTTTTTGTGTTCTTCATTCAAGAGTTCTTGGCATTCTTCTGTTGTCAGATCAGTTTCAGGTTCCATTATGAGCTCTTCAATGTTCTTTATTTCTCAAGTGTGATTTTTGTTACTCCTTAAGCTGCTTGAGTCTTGATAATTCAGTAACTTTCTTAGATAAGATTGAACTGCAGCCTACTGTAGACCTGTTTGAGCCATACTGCCCAGCAACAACAGACATCAGACATCTGCCCACTCTCTACCTGTGATATTACTCTCATCTTTCAAAAATAAAAACCAACACAAAACTTAACAAGTGACTGCCTGATGGTCTCACAAATACTATAAAAAAAATTGTTTCTGTCAGAAAAATAAAAGGCTGGAATTACAAGGCAAAATTTCAAAGTTCGGAGGAATATTATCTGATCAGTATCTACCATTGACATCTACCGGGTTGAGCGTCGATGTCAATGTCTCCCACGCTCCAAAAAGTTTCAAATTGTTGTCTGAAGACAAGGGAAGACCAATTGGTATTTATTATTTTATGTCGCTTCTTCTTGTGTTTGTTCATGTGTTCATTGTCCAAACATAAAAAAGCTTTTGTGAAAGTGTTCATTATCTGATTTGTTCATTAACCGAACTGTTTGTTAACTGATCAGTCACTGTATTCTACTTTTTGTCAAGTTTATTAGTTTTTTTTCCTTTAATAATTAAGTTATTTTATCTGTACTTCCCAAAGTAAATAGTTTTAATGTACTTTACTTATGTTCAATATATTTTCTTAATTTTTAATAAGTTCTTAATTATTTTTTTAATTCACATGTATATATGTGAATTAAAATTACCTGGCCAAAAAATGGCCAGGTAACTTTTTACATTTTTTGGCCAGGTAACATTTTTTACCTGGCCAAAATGCTGTTGTCAGAATTAGTTATGTGGCCCTACTCTTGAAAAGTTTGGGAATCCTGGTTTAAACTATTTAATAAAGATTTTAATTTTTTAATATTCTCTAGATTTAAATGTAACAAACTTATTGATGAAATGTAAACATGTAAAACATTTTTATAATTTTAAACGAACTAGAAACAAAAAAGAAATAGTATAAATAATTAATTTCCCCCTAGCTAAATTAAAATTCTTTGTGAAAAATTTAAAATATAACTTTCAAAAATTGTATGTTGTTAACATAATAATTAATATAATCAAATTTAATACATTAGTTATTGATTCAATTAAACTTTGCATACTTTTCCAAAAATGATTAGTTAGTTAATTTTTTATGCAATAATTTGGTTCTATAAATAGGTGTGTCGCCATCTAGTGGTTAAAAAATTTAAACAAGGATTTCGTTAGTTGTAGGATTTAATCTACTTATATTTCATGCTTTTTTTTAAAGTTAAATTCCTAAATTATTTATTAATTAATGATGCCATTTAATGAGAGAAACCTCTCATCCATAATATAAAATAATTCTAATTATATAAGTACTATATACAGGGTGTCTCAGTTAAACGTTTCAGAACTTCTAAGAGTGGTAGGGTGCATCCCAATGACTCTGAATCATATAGCAATGTGGGGTTGGAAATGTTTTCCTGACACGGTAGATGGCATTGCGCGAAAGTCTGAGTGTTCTTGCAGGAAATCGTCATTTCACACAAGGACGCAGAGTTAACCGATATGCATTTGGTGTACGGGCCTGCAGATTGTAGTGGACCAGCCACATAGCGCTTGTATGCGGAACGATATCCAATGAGTCATATTCCCAGCCATAATTTCTGTGCAAGCCTGCATCAGAGGTTAGCTGTTTCTGTGTACATCACTGCTTCAGGAAAGCATTTCCAACCCTGCATTGCTATATGATTCCAAGTCGTCGGGATGCACCCTTCTTAGAAATTCTGAAACGTTTAACTGAAACACCCTGTATATGTTACCGTTAAAGTATTGAATGCCATTATTCTATAGAATATGTAGTTATTTCATAGAATACCTGTCTGATTTAGGTAATGTTGGAATGAATTAAAAATTACATAGTTTAACTAGTTATTCTATGGAATAGCTAGGTATTCTATTAATTAACTAACCAGTGTTAGTTAGAATATAAAATAAATGCATGTTAAACTTGTCAAATTATTATATGTAATATAATAAATAAATATACTGTAAAACTACAATAATTTCTATTTATTAGAACAATGAGTGCTGGAGTGGCATTTGGAATTGCAGAAAACATTATTTTTTAGACAAACACATCTTTTGTTGTCACACTGTTCTTTACATGAACATTTTTCAACCTGACCTGTACCATTTTGGGTTGTAGCGACAGACCACTCTGGTCTGTCGCTACAATGTCCAGTACAATCTCAATGTCCAGTATTTTGTCAATTGAAATAAATTTTTGTTCAGATACTAAATTGATCCCTGCAATATAACTGTTTGAGGCACCCATTTCTTGTTCCAATCAATAAAATATTTGACTAGGTTCTTCCATAACAACAGCAAGAATGGATCTGGCATCTCCTCGTCCTCTGTCAACATCAGGCAGTGGGATACGAGCCGTCATTCCTACAGATGTCTCAGAATGTGATTTTTCTGACAGTATTTTCATTTTCTTTGCTAGTATTTCCAAACATTCTTTGGCCTCTTCTCTTTCTTTCTGGACATTCAGTTTATTAAGTTTCAGTTATATTCAGTTTATTATTCAGTTAAATGTAGCTTTCTAGGTGTTCCTCTGAATCCCTTGAGTAAATGTCACATAATGTAGATGTGGTTTCTTCAACCAAAGTGTCCTTATTTCATGCTGCAGAGAGAACATCTTGCAAATCATCATTATTCAATGAATCAAATCCTTCCTTTGCAATGGGTGTTGTTGACGATCCCACCTTTGCTGCACACCCAAATATAGCTTCGTAAGATCTCTTCATAGCAGAATGGAAAGCTTTATTTTTCACGAATTGAATAAACTTTAGACTGTTACTCCACGTAGTAGATTGCATCCAGGTTGTCAGCATGTTTTCTATGTCTTTGTTGGCCCTCTATGCTTCCTTGTCTCTGACTGTGCCCTTGGTTTTCCATGTACAATTTTAAGTTCTGGCCAAGTTATTTTCAAGCCTTCTATGAGCTTATTGCGAAATTTGCAGCCATTATCAGACTGAAGTATGCAGAGTGCACCAAGAAGCAGAAATGTATCAAGTGTGTACCAACTTTTTCGGCCCTCTTTGTTTGGAGGGTTCTTAATACAACAAATTTAGTCAAATGATCTTGGTATACTAAAAAAAACTTGTAGTTTCCATCAGGTTGAGACTGAAAATCTATCAGATCTACCTGACATCTTAAATTCATGTGTGAAAATATCATTGGCTTTTACATCATCTTTCTTTCCCATGTTTTTTGTTGGAACGACACACAAACATTCAAAAACATCTTGATATCTCCTTCAGTAATATTTTTATAATGACAATTTGCATTTTTCACCAGATGCTTGCCCTCTGGTGTTTAAAAACAAAACTATTCTATCTGGGTCATTTGGGGTACGTTTGTGAAGTCAAACGAGTTAAACGCGTTAGTAACGAATCGTTCGAATAGTAGTAGTCTTGCTCAGTGCGCATGCTGTGTAGTGATGACGTTTCAAACGAAACTCTAACGAAGTTCACGAAGGAAAGAGTTAGTTTACTTCGTTAAGAAAATGGTGCCTGACGATATCGATGTTTCTAAATCTACTCGAGTGTTTAAATTGTGAATTAAAAGATGAAATGATTGAAGTAACTGTCCACCCGAAGCAATCTAAGAAAAATATTTCGGATAAGGCTGTATTAGCAACACTTGTATCTTCGATTTTAGAAACAGCCATTTAGTTCTAAATGAATCATTCGAAAAGTCTAATGAAATAAGAATAACGATGACGTCATTCTCGTTTAACTCGTTCGACTTTACGAACGTACCCTTGATTCATTCTTGTGTATAATCAGCAATAAAGATGAATAGCAATAGAAAAAGTGATGCTTTATGTTGCATTCCAAATTGCAAATTCAAAGCCTTACAGGAGACTAATATAAGTTTTCATTTATTCCCACATGAAAAACATGATTATTTGGAAATAGGTCAGTTATATTTATGAGCTTCTCTGAATTCTGAAAGAGTGGATTAAACTGTTAATAATTGCCAGTTTCCCAATTGTCCAGCTTTACATGAACAAGTTATGCTGTCAATTTTAAAACATATTTTCTTAAAGTTTAAAATGCCAGTAATTTTGTGTGGGACACAGTCGGATTTAAGCATTTCGAAGCCCTAAGTTGAACTCTTAAGGCCCCTTACCAACCTTTGACAATTTTAGAAGTCAATCATAAAAGAAAAAGATTAAATCAGTCTATGTCTCTGATTTAATACAGATATTGGAAGAAAAAGATGTGAGGTTTCACAAGTCTTTTGTTTTATAACTGAATTTAATTAAATTTTTATACCCATTCCATTAAAAATCTTTTTTTTAATTGGTTTTATCAANATGCTGTCAATTTTAAAACATATTTTCTTAAAGTTTAAAATGCCAGTAATTTTGTGTGGGACACAGTCGGATTTAAGCATTTCGAAGCCCTAAGTTGAACTCTTAAGGCCCCTTACCAACCTTTGACAATTTTAGAAGTCAATCATAAAAGAAAAAGATTAAATCAGTCTATGTCTCTGATTTAATACAGATATTGGAAGAAAAAGATGTGAGGTTTCACAAGTCTTTTGTTTTATAACTGAATTTAATTAAATTTTTATACCCATTCCATTAAAAATCTTTTTTTAAATTGGTTTTATCAAGTTTTTTAAAAAAAGATCTTATGTTAATTCTTAGAAAAAAATTAATGAAATACTACACAAAATAAAAAGTAAACTATATTTTGTTGGTTTGTAAAAAAATGTTTACAAAATTTGACATCAATTTTCTTTTTTGTACAAATGTTTGAGTCCCTTTGAAAGTCCTAAGCAACAACTTGCATAGCTTTTTACTTGTAAATCTGGCCCTGATAGGACAATGTCAAAGCTGATGTTTTTGAACACAAAGGGCACAAATATGTATAGAATGATCTTGCTCATTTGTTTCGATACCACATAATAACGTGTCCCTCTAGCAATAATTGTTTTCCTTCTATAAAATTTCTTGATAAACAGTTACAAGCAGCATATATCATTATATTGAACATTAATATATGATTAATTTTACATTACTAATTTCAAGCAACCCAGATAAAGTAGCCATTTTGTAAAAATGCATTACCCTCTATAGTTCATGAAAAATGCAAATTCAGTTCTTTTATCATCTGATCTCTGCCACCATGTCCAATAGAAATGTGTTTCATACAGAATATCAAAAATATCATTACATTATTACTTCTGCCTCGCTATCTTTAAGTGGAACTATTAATTTCTCTATTCCTTGAACTTCCAGAACATCATAATGTTGAAGTAACTAGTAATGTAGGTTTTTTCTTATCAGTCACTCTAGCTGTCTTCACTTCTTGTATAAATCATAGTAACTTTATGTGAATTAGCAACGTAGTTACTTAGTATCTAATCATTAATAATAGCAGATTTATAACCCAATTGTTTAAGGCAATTGTTTAGTTTAACTGATAATTGAATGGACTACAACAACATTGTTGGGATGGCTCCAACCCGTTATCTTCTTCATTGATATCATTCTCTGACCTGAATAAACAAAAAAGTATTTTTATTCCATACTTTAACAAGCAGTGATCATTATTCTAAAAGTATAGAATGTTACGTTATTATACACTTTAATGGGCCTGTTTAGGTATTCTATGAAATAACTCAGTATTATTAGAATAGAATTTTTCTAGGGCAAGTTTAAGCATGTTTGGAGACAAATAACTACAAATGAGGAGTGCTCTCACTGAATTATGTGGTTTTTCAATGATAATTTTGAAAAATTTACTTGCAAATTGCTCAGAATTTTTTAACTTCCGTTTCATTGAAAATATCTGAGAAGTGTATATTCCATATCCCATTTGTTTGATAAAAGTTCATATCTAGACCCTTATGTGGACAATATTTGTCTGGATAAGGGTAATTCAATTTGTAGTACCTAGCCTAAAAACTTCTATGTTTTTTGTTGAAAATTTCTGAAATTTTGCAGAGGTTTGTTTATTAAAGATTTAGTAGGTGGGGAGATAAATGGGGTCATGTGTCATATCTCAATAGGGTCAGACTTAATGATAATTTTACTAGTTATTAGCATTTAGAATTTTTTATAAAACCCATTCCTACCCTCAAAATCAAGCTTTTTGCCATTTTATAATAGTAAAAAAATATAAAAAGTTTTTTAATAAAATATGATGACAAATGACACCATTAAATGTTGCTGGGAAAGTTAAGTAACTCATTGCTGTATTTTTTTCCTTCAAGATAGCCAGCTTCAGTGTCTTAATTTGTCAAGCCTTCACCCACTTGTCTAATGCTCAAGACAGGAATAAAGAATGCCGTACTACTGCCCAGTAAGCCAGACAACATGGCTACTCCCTGAACACCATCAAAAGATCTTATTTGTTGTCATTCCTTCACTACCTATTAACTGCTTTCAGGGGAAAAGTTTTCAAATGAAATAATGTGACTTCCAGTCTGCATAGGAAGTTCATATATAGTTAATTGGAGCCTCCAGCTGTAAAGTTTCTATATCTGATCTCTGATTTCATTTATCTAACACCATTCTCAAGATAAAGACAGATGGACAACAGTGGAAATTTATAGGTCTACAATTTTTTTCAAATTGTAGCCCAAAAACAAATATTTAAGAAACAATCTTTATTTTTCCTGTGAATATAAAAAGTAAAAAAGTAGGTATTTTATTTATTGATTATTTCTTTTGTATTTGTATTGGTCCATTTTTGCAACCTTGAATGTGGTAGAAGTTCTGTTGAATTCAAAAACTGTAGAGCATACAAGATGACCTAACATAATAAGATAAATGTTATTCAGGCCATGTGTTGCAATTTTGCAACATGCCTGTAAATTGAGAAAAAATGTCCAACAATGCAAACAAAATTATACTAAGCCGTCAGATTTGTACTATTTTGTTCATAAAAAGGAATATGGTCCAGTGAGATATTATGCCTTTCTGTTGTGGTGCTTGAAATATCAAGTCAATGAATTCAACATATTAAGTATTATTAAATAATTAAGTAATAGTTTATGATTTATTCTTATTAAACTGAATAATAACTTGTTGATGATATTAACAACAAATTATGTATATTCTCCATGATAAGTCCAAGTAGAAGAAAATAGACATTGAAGTTGGGAAAAAAAATTTTATACCTAGAGCAACAATATAACATAGGCATGTACTGCACAATGTTAGGCAAGGTCTCGAGTTTATTATCCTTTCTGGAATGATTGAAATCCCTCCGAAAGGATCAGTTTACACAAGGGGTTGGATAAATGGATGGTCTACTTAAATAATACTTAAACAACATTTCCACCATTTAAAACTTTCAAGTTAGAAAAGAATAGTATAAATCATCACATAATTTTTCTAAACAGAGACAGTGGATGAATTTTATTGATAATGAAGCTTTCCGATCTTGAAGTATGTTCTAAAAAAAAGGATATTAGACAGACTACTATTGGGAGAGAACCCTAAATGCTAAGTATGAAATATTGATGATTATCTATAAAATCTATCTTCATTAAATAGATTGACTTTTTAAAGAGTCATTCCAGATATAAAAATATATATATTACTGTTGTAATTTTATTTATAGATTTTAAGAATGAAAACAGGATACTTAGAAATATTTCTTTTGGACTTTTATAGTGATGCTTAGAAATCAGCTGATTATTGATTAATAATAGTTAAAATTTAAATGATAATGTCAAATAATTGGCATATTATCAAAATTTAAAAATAAATGTGAACAAATTAAATATTTAAATAGATTTTATCAAAAAGTGAGTTTGCTTGAAAAATTTTTTTCATATTAAGATTATCTATTAAAAAATATAAAAAGTTTAGCTGTCAGAAAAAAGGAAAGCATAAAAAAGCATTAAAAAAAATACAAACTTTAGGTTCTAATTTGTTATAGATGGGCAAGAATACCCTAATTCATGTGTAATTCTTACTTCAATAGATACAACCTGCATCTTAGGATGCAAAGTAAATGCAGCATAGATAAAATATATTCTTTTTTTCTTCTTTAATTAAACAAACATATTTTTGTTATATGTTACTTATTTCAAACAAGTTAATTACTTTATATTTAGTAATTGAACAGTATAGATTTAAAAACTCAGCCCAAATTATAAATTAATCAAATAATAATTCCAGATTCATTAAGCCAGAACTGGTTAATTATCTATATACATAAACAGTATAGTTGGGTTAGCAAGTCAATATAGATATATAAATTCTTGCTAATCCAGCCATTGCTTCCTTATAGGAATGCCAGATTACTGAGACATAAGATGTCAATTTAATTCTTTATTAAATTTAATGTTACACGTTTACTGTCTGTACATGCTAAAAAGAAATGTTTTTTTAAATACAAGTATTTATATTGTATACAGTTTAAGAAATTTAAAATGCAATACAGGACAACTGAAATGTTGTGTAGTCACTTCAAAAAAATCAGATTTTTATTTGCTTTAATGAAGATGCTTGTTAATGGTACGCTTTTTCACACAATCACTTTACGAGCATTACATAGGTAATGCATGTGTCTGGTTGTTACATTATGTACTGCAGGAAAATGTCAGCTGCTTCAGCCCCAGCAGTGTGAGAAATCTTCATTCTTTGTGCCTCTGTGATGTCTTCTTCATCATCATTTTCATCCTACACACTTATGATGATTTCTTTGGTTATCTTATCACTTATCACTAACATGGATTAATTTAAAGCCCACCAGGGCTTCATAGGAAATTAATTGGCAGATTATTTATCAAAGGCTGCAGCAGCAGATAAGTTACCTTTAGATAGGACCCTGAGAACTCATTGTATCTCTATGAGAGATGATGACAACTGAATGGCAGGGAGATTGGAATAAAAAATGTGACAGCATCACCTTTCTGATGTTAAAAATGAAATAAGATGACTTGGCTCTCCATGTATTAACTCAGTTCCTTACCAACCATGGTAAGTTGCAGTTCCTGCATAGGTTCATTAATCATGAGTTTGATAACTACCCAATTTGCAAAACTTGGGACAATAGCAATTACTATGTATTTCAGTGCCCATGCTAGAGTTGGAAAGATCCCAAATCAAGATGTTAATAGAAGCATGGTTCATCCTACTTAATGATCAGGAAGTTTATAAATCCTTCAGACTTATTTCAAGGAATAACACTTTAATGATGGTGCAAGGGTTATAGGCAGCAACAAACAATTCACCTTCCATTTACTCACATATACAAGCTTACATATGTTTTTTATGAATGTGTGATATTGTCACATAAATAAATAGTTATGTACTGGTATCTGTATTAATCTGTTCTGAATGTACTATATGTGCTACTTATTGTAGTACAGTACCTATGTATGACCACTTCAGTGGTGTGAATTATGCAGAGTTTTATTTCAGTTCAAGCAATTTTTTGAGTGTCATGCATTCAAAAATCTCTGGGAATGATGCTGTATTGCTAAATGTATTGATATGAAAATATTTTAAACAAAACTGCCTTCAAAGTACTGTCTAACTGTTCAAAACATTTCTGGGAAACTCTTTTTTTGGTAACCTATTCCATAGAATCTTTTTTCTGCTGCTTTCACAGCATTTTTAAAATGAAAGCATTACTACTATAGCAATGCCTTCATCTTTTGGGAAAAGGTAGAAATCACAATGCAAGGGTCAGGTGAATAGGGAAAATGTGGAAACAATGTTATATGCCCAATTTACTCAGATAATTTTGAACAAGAAGTGAATGGAACTCCTTTGACTAATATTCATGTCTTGTTCAAAATTATCTGACTAAAATGGCCACAACATTGCTTTCACACCCTCCCTAATTGACTGATGTCACACTTTGTAATTTATCTTTTCCCAAAGGTGAAAGAGCTATTAAAGAGAGAGATGATTGTGATGAAGATGCTGTGAAAACAGTTGCCAAAAGATTCTATGGAAGTTGCCAAAAAAGGGTTCCAAAAGTTTTGGATAGTTGTAGTAATTTTGACAGAAGTGTGTAGCTGGGAATAATTTATGAAGATGGCTGTGTTTTAATATCAATACATTTAACAATACAGCACCATTCTCAGAACTTTTTGAATGTACAGTACCATGTACTATTGTGATAAAAAAAAAAAAATGAGGATATGGTTCATTTAAACTGTGTGCATGCAAAAAAGTGCTGTTGTCATTTTTTTTGTCACTTGGTACAACTTTGACATACAGATTGCTACTAGATGTTGATGATTGTCTTTTTTAATTTGCAAATAAAACACTTACTTTGTGTATAAAAAACTTCTGCACTTGCAATTTTTCAAAATGTTGAGTATAATTAAGCAAAGAACTTACATTAAATTCTGTTTTCTCAACAGAATTGCTGCTGCAAAAATGTTGCAAAAAGCTTTTGTTGATGATATATCAAAAACAAGTTTTCAAGTGGTACAAGATGTTCAAGGAAGACAGCAAATATATCAAAGATGAACTATGCTCTGGTAGACCATCCACTTCAACTGATGAATAACACGTCGCTCAAGTC